GGAGAGAGAGAGAGATCTGCAGAGGGAACGAAACAAAGCGAATCTCTCAACACGCGCGTGTTCACGAGATAATTATAAGACTTTTGATACCTTTATCAATGAGAGCGAGCTCACGATAAAGCTCACTTTAATGCCGCTATCGATAATGCCTCGGGAATCTGATCGCGGCGATAGCTTTCATACCTCTCACCCTGTCGAATAATTAAAAGGCGCGATGAGGCGGATACGCGCGAATCATTGCATTGCTCAAGCAACGCTTCGAAAGGAAAGTTAATTGTCTATAAACGATCTTTCAGCGAAACTATTTCAGCGAGTCTAATCAACGTTTAACGCAATTATTCGTACGTTTGCGCGTTATTACCTTCGACACACAACACAATGCAGCGTAATACAGCGCAATACTTGGCACGTTACGTAAAAAAAAAAAAAAAAAAATACTGGCGAGTTTCTAGAGCGTGGAAATATTAATTAAGCGGCGGAAAAAACAAATCCGCTATGTGTGACCAAAAGTTATTGACCCCTAGCAAGGGAAGAAATCACGTTCTTATCTCGTCTAAATCTAATGTTATTATCTTTGAGCGTTCCGAAAGTTTAAGTGCACTCCTCTGTTTTGCTAATCTCTCAAAAGAGATTTAATACCGAATTTTATTACTCAAATAAATTCACAATACGTTAAAGTACTGATTACTAGATTTTATCTTGTGATAAGATTAAGGTTAGGCTTGAAGATAAAATTTGTTTGCAGCTTTATTTCTTCACTAGAAACAATATACTGTTACACAAATACACGGAAGGGGCAATATATTTCGACTTGGACGGAGATAAAGTAAATTTAATGTTACGAATAAACTTTTGGAATTCTTTCCGTAGCGAGAAAAGTTTATCAAATTTCGTATCAATTACGAATACAAACTTTCCGAGACATATTATAAACTGAAGTACATTTCCCTTCAGTTTTCTCTTATTTTCCTTTTCTATTTATGTGATCTCGTATAACTGCCAGATATTTCACTCGACACGTTTGCCAGTCACGTGTAAACAAACATTTTTGCGACTTCGTAACCATAACGGTCACCTCTCGGCTGTTGTTTCAAAGTTCTCTCACGGTGTATTAGATCGGTGTATTATCCCTCATGGAACAATTAATGACTGAAGCTTCTCAAATATTATTAATTCGCCGCCTTATCTTTACTAGTACATCCTACGAAAACATAACGTGGCTGTAGAAATCTTATTGCAGAAACAGGATAAGATTATCTATCATTTATCTGAGAAAAAGATGAGAAAATAAAGCAAAATTTTCATTATACTGCTAATACTTTCATTAAACTTGGCAAGACGGAGAAACGCGCGTTGCGAGATGTCCAACTTATTTATATCTTCCGTTTAGCTACTTATAAATCTCGTTAATAATTATAGAACTTACTTTTCTGAAATTTCTCGTGTAATTTGCATATAATCACATCTATCTTTGTAAGATCGAATCAGAATTTTGAATAATTAAATAAGACGCACATATTTCCCAAAATTAAGTTTACAGAGTTACAGCTTGCGGTTCTCAAATTTTATATGAAAATTATACATCTATATTACAATATTTTATATATACCAAAATTATAAAGGATTAATCATATTGCATAAATTAACTCTGACAATTTTCAATATTTCAATTGTGATTGTGAAATTAAAATTTAAATTCCAATCAGAGTAATGATAAATCAAAGAGTCCGAAACAGACAAATACAATTTGTATGAGGGTTAAAAAAGGGTTGGCGAGAAGCGAGATGTCGCATTCGCGTCAGCATTGGCTAATCGCGGTTAACGAACGAAGCTAATCATTTTCCTCGTCGTCGTCATCGTCAAACTCATTGTCAAACTTCGGCCGGCTTGTTAGACGACGGGCATATCGCGTCGTCACGAACGTCGACGATTAACTCGCGACGCGACGCGACGTCGGTGGAAGAGTCGCGGCTCTCGGCTGATTTCGGGCAGACGGACGGGCGCGAGGGTGGCGCGGGGTGGGCGAGGAAGACAGCGGGGGGGAAAGGGGGAGGCTGTTGCTCGGCACTCGGCTCGACTCGGGTGGGGCGACGACGGCGAGCCGGGACCGGCCGAGGCGACGAGATTCTCGCAGTGCCGAACCCCGTCGTTCGCCTCGCATTGTCTCTCGTCGCACGTATCTGTATCTTCCGCATCTCCGAGGCCTCGTTTAATAGCTCCTCCTGCAACCACGTTCACGTTGATACAACGCGCCGCAGCGCCTTGCCCGTGTGCCCGACTTCGCACCGTGTGCCGTCGCCGCTCGCGGAATACAGCGTGAAGGTGTCCGCGCTCGCGCGTGCTTGTGCCTCTCTCTTCTCTTTCTCTCTCTTTCTCTCTGTGTGCCTCGCGCGCGCGATTCCCGGTCGTGTGACGATCGTCCATCCATCTTCCGTGACTTATTCGAGGAAAATTAACATAACTTTTTCTCCCATTTTTCTCAGTTTGCGCGCCCACGAGCAAACACGTGACTCTCGCAGCGCCTGCCGAAAATCGAGCGTCTTACTGACGCGGCGCGCGCGCGCGCGACCGAATTCGGAAGTCCGCTCGCCCCTCGCGACGCGACGAAACGTAACGTAACGTGACGTGACGTGACGTGACGTGACGTGACGTGACGTGACGTGACGTGATCGTCACCGCCACCATCTACGGATCTCTTCACGCCAACCGACGACCGTGTCAATTGATCCGGCCTCTTCTATCGATCGACGACAACCGAGAAGAGAATCCCGTTCTCGCCTCGTCTTGTCATCGGAGAGGAGGGAGACAATCATCCTGAAATCAACCATGGAGGCTCGCAAGCCGGAGCAGGCCGGGCAAGCCACGATCTCCGACGCTGTCGTCGTCGCCGCGAGGGACAAACCGGAAACGAACAAGAAATTACCGGCCAGATCCGACGATCTCGCGCAAATACCACTGATGCAGGTAAGCTTACGTAATACTTGCGAGCGAGTCCGCATATATATATCGGTGCGGCGTGACGCGTGTGTGCGAGGCTCGCGAGAACCTCGCCTCTCGGCCCATTTGCGGCGCGCCGGCCGGCGGACGGTGGTGGACGAGGAGTAGAGGGGACCAAGAGGGGATGGACGGTGACGGCAGCGGAGTCGTTCAACCCTCTCGCGAGCCGGAGACTGCGGCGGAGGTCGACACCCCGCGCCGATGCGGACGATCGATCGCGATCGATTCTCAGCATTGGCGTCGAAGCGCGAATCTCGGAGCCGCGAAACGTGTTCAACGCGAGAGGTGTCTCTTTTTCCTTTTCTCTCTTTCTTCATGCGCACATTGTATGTACACACATTGTATGTACGTATACTGTTTATCTCGCCTCTGTCCTTCGCGCGTCTGTCCTACGTCGACTTTAGTTACAAATATTATTACGCTGTTGACGCATAGTCGCTCCAAATCTGGTGTTTATAATTTGGTCTACGTCGATTTATATTTCTTTTGTTATAAACTATGATAATAATTTTCTTATTAATAAAATGCTGGAGGGTGGCATCATATTAATATATGATAGATTTAAAATGCGCTGACAATTAATATTATCTTATTTTATATATTTAAATCAAAAATTGCCGTAAATCTCATACGAACTAACGCAATCAAAAAAAGAATCAGCTCTCTTGTGTCGAACAAGAATAAGCCATTTTTTATTTATAATATAATATAATATAAAGTGGATAAATTAATATATATATA